ACTAGAATCCCAGATATAATCCTTGATAGAAATGTAAATGAAGAAAACAGTCTCAAATTACATGGCACACGTATGTAGTTACTAACATATTGGCTTATATTTAGAGAAAACTAAGTGGCCGGTCGGGGAGGGGGGAGGCGGTGGTGGTGATGATGTGGATTTCTTAACCAGAGAAGACTTTGTAGAAACAAACTGTAAGCCAGGTTTGAAAAAAAAGAGAGGTAACCAGAATAATGAAAGGAGTTGTTCTTGTAAGTTGTGAAATAATGAGACCAGGGAGAGGAAAAAAAGACGAATGTAGGTGTCCTTTGTGAAGACAGTAAAGACACAAAAGAGAAGGGAGCAGTGGGTGTGACATAAGACATTCCACTATTGCTAAACTTTAGATAGGTCCTTTCCTCCTTGAGTCCTCATTCCACAAATGGCATCACATATCTATAAAGGGAACAACATTCCCTGTTTGGTATGGGCAGGGTTCCACAAGGGTTCAGAGCAAGACCACCTGGGTGGTTGAAATGAGTAGGTCGTTGAGTTTAATGATTTAGAGAGTGCTACTCAATCCAGGGGCCTTGGAAGGAGTTTCTTGGGCCCTTCTAATAACCCTATGGCAAACCTGTCTGGGAACAATAATAGTTAGCTCTTCCTGATTAGCATAACCTGTTTGATCACTAATTTATAATTTATTGCAACTGTTTGTTGGGTGCAGTACTTGAAAGCAGCTAGATGGCAGAGTAGATAGAGTGCTGGTCCTGAGTTAGGAAGACCTTAGTTCAAATGCTAACTGGGCAATTCACTTAACCTCCATTTGCCTCAGTTTCCTCAACTGTAAAATCCTTGAAGGATTGTTGTGAGGATCAAATGAGATAATATTTGTAAAGTGCTGATCTGTGTGACCTTAGGCAAGTCAGTTGGGCATCAGTTTCCTAATCTATAAAATGAGGAGTTGAACAGATGACCTCCTAGTTCTCTTTTCCAACTCTATATCTATGATCTTAGGATCTTTATCATGTGTGGCTTTCCTCTGCTTCTTATCTCCTGGAGGAACTTCCAGAGACACTGGATCTTCTTTCTCAGTGCTTTGGGTCTCCCTCTGGTGGCTAGTGCCAGGCTCTAGAGCAGGGGTAGGAAACCTGTGGCCTCCAGGCCACACGTGGCCCTCCAGGTTCTCAAGTGTGGCCCTTTGACTGAATCCACATGTGGCCCTCTGGGTCAAGTGTGGCCCTTAGATTGAATATACATGTGGCCCTCTAGGTCCTCAAGTGTGGCCCTTAGACTGAATCCAAATTTTGTTCTGTGAAGTTTGTATTCAGTCAAAGGGCCCCACTTGAGGTCCTAGAGGGCCACATGTGGCCCAGAGACTACAGGTTCCCCACCTCTGCTCTAGAAGTTTTCAATCAATATTGGCTGACTAACTAAAAAAGGGGCCAGGGCTTCATGCTTTGCTTTTGACTAGCTAAGTTGCTTTCCTCAGGCCCATTCAAAGCAAATTTTATCTTCTGACTTATGATGAAAGGTGCTGTCCATTTCCAGAGAAAGAACTTGTAGAGTCTGAATGCAGATTGAAGCATATTTTTCATTACTTTATATTTCTTGGGTTTTTGTTGGGTTTTTTTGGGGGGGGGTGTCTGTGTTTTCTTTCACAGCACGACTTACAAAGCAGTGTGTTTTACATGACTGCACATGTATAACCTATATCATACTGCTTGCCTTCTCAATGGGGTGAGGGGAGGTAGAAAATTTGGAACTCAAAATTCGAAAAAAAGGATGTTAAAATTGTTTTTACTTGTAATTGGGGAAAAAAACTGTATCTTCCATTTTTCTTGAAACAGGGAAAAAATAAAACTGGGTTGGCCAGGGGAATGGCAGTCTCCTATCCATGTGCTCTTTCTGCATTCTCATCAAAAATCAGAGCTCTAAGTTTTATATGGCCAGAGAGACTGACTAGATTGATTCCTGTAGGTCCTTCAGATCCAGAGGCATGCATACGTCATAATTTTATCAGTGCTCCACGCATCTAATGGAAAATGCAAGCAGAGTACCCGAGGTTAATTGTCCCCAACTAACCTTCTTGGGGAACAGAGGTCTAATAGAAATTCCTGATACTAATGACAGACCTGCCACACTTCAGCGGAACACCTAATGGCAGGTTTGTTTCTAATCCACTGCAGTGATGATGATGATGATGTGGATTCAGAAGGAAAGCAACACTTAGCTCCCGCCCCACTCCCCATCACGCACTTCTGTACACGTCCCATTTCAACTCTGACCAAATGGTCAAAAGATGACTTAAGAATAAAGATTTCTCTACCTAATTAATAACCCATTAATATCTAGAGATGACAGGTATATGATACCCATAACAGGTCAAAGATGAAATTTGATTGTCCTTGGGAGCCAAGGAGGGTGTGGGTCGGCTTTTGAATGAATTCACTTCTTACACTTTTCTGCCTAGGGCTAGAATTTGAAGTGCTTTTATCTTATCAAAGGAGTCGGCTCAGGTCTTATATAGGGGCAGGAACACACTCAGGAGAGAGCAAACCAGTTTGGCACCATGGGGAAGAAGCAGGCTAAGAGCGAGGCTGCTCCCAACTGTGAGCTAAGTAAGTAGCAATAAGACAGCCAAGCGGCCCCGGGATAAAGAAGACAAAAGATATTCTTAAACTGAGCAGGCAGGAGTGGAGGGGGAGAAATACTCCATCTTTTCTCTGTTATCTGCAGTTGGCTTTGGGTTGTCTTTTCTACTTCATTTAGATACATCTGAAGAAATGCCTCCTAACCAGAGGAAAATTGGGGCAAACTCTTCCTGAATCTCAGATGACTGCAGAAAAAACCCAAACCTATTTTCTGATTTATGTTTTTCCTCTTCTCTCCAGAAGAGAATTATTTTGGAGGCTAACGTAGTCTTGAGGTTAATTGCGGGGTAATTCGATTCTGTTTCTCTGTGTGTACGCTTCTGGTCTGCTCCTTTTTTCCCCTCTGCCTTGCTGCTTTCCCCTCCACTTTTTGAGGTTCGTACCTAACTAAATGATCTTTCTCCGAGCAGTGTGCAGGCAAGGGAGCAATTCAGTTTTCCTGGAATGGGTATGCTTCCAAGTTTTATTTTTCCTTAAGTTATCCCATCCCCAACAAATAATTCTTTAAAAAAAAAAACTTTAAAAGAGATCATGTTGTAATAGTATTTTATTAGATTATTTATTTTCCCTTCCCAAAAGATGACCCAGAAACCAGCTGGTCCCTGCTCTTCCCCGAGTGCTTCTGGGTTCACTTCCCCAGCTTTTCACTCTCAACAAAGAACCAGACAACTGAGGTCAGCTATCGATGGGGTGGAACTGAGTCTTGGAAAGTAACAAGAAAAGGGGTGATTGTGTAGGGGCGAGACGCTGGAGTAGACTAGAGAACAAAACAAGCGGAGGGAGCTGGGGTGCAGGTGCCAGGTGCGGTACCAATAGATGATTTGCATTCCTCTCTGGGGTGGAGGAGGATGATACTATGATGTGGCAGCACAGGGGACTAGGGCAGGCCGGGAGTTGTTGTTTTTTTTCTCCTTTGGATGGAGCAGCAAGAAGTGGCATCTTGAAGATATCCCCGTCCCCAAACTACACCGAAGTGCTTGCTGTGGATCGAAGTTCAGCATTTGCAGTAGAGTGAGGACTCACCTTACTCTCAAGAAAAGCTCTGCCCAAGGAGAGCTCCTGCAGAAGTCTGCATTGCTTGCTGTTTGTCCTTCGTCCCCGATATCACCAGAGCGATTGCTCATCCAGAGACTGCCGGGACGTCCTGCGCTTCGAAGCCTGCTTTTGGAAGGGGACTGCACTTCACTTGTGCCTCTTTCCTCCGGACGCTGCGGGGCGCTGCTCCGGAGGAGGCGCGCGTTGCCTCTTTCGCTTCGCCACGCGGCACAGCTCCGACCAATGAGAGTGCGCGGTCGCGGCATCGCCGACCAATCGCACTGAGGGTCGGCTGGACTGGCGAGGGGGGGTGGGGGGGGTGTCTGGGCTTTGAGCGCGCCGGGTGTAATGGAGATACCGGGCCTGGGAAAACCTGTTTGGAAAGCGTGGCCCTGCAGGTGAGCTTCCGGGCCCCTAGGCCACCGCGAGGTCACGGTTAGGCTAACTAGGGCCGGCGTCACTCGTCGTTTGCGTCGCTTGCTGCTTGTGGGGGCCGGGGCTGGGGGGGGCGCAGTTTCTTGAGTTTCTGAGCTTTACGAGGCGGCGGGGGGGACGAAAGTAAAGGAGGGGTCATCGCCGCTCCTCCCTCCGCGCACCTCGTGACCCGCAGCCCGGCGCCTCTGCAGTGGATCTCGGCCCAGGGCAAAGTCTCCCGGCCCCAGGAGCCCCTGGTCCCGGCGGGCTGCGCTGACCAGGGAGCCCGGCACGCGCACCTCCAGGAGGTGCGCGGGGGCGCGCGCGGCGGAGGGGGGCGTGTGCCGGGGCGGTGGCAAAACCTCCCCCTTCCCACCGAATAATAACCGTGATAATAGCCATCATTAATATAACGCTTTGAGGTCTGCAAAGCAATTTGCAAAATAATTATCTTTTTATCCTCCTAAAGAAAGGCCTGGGAGGCAGGGGCTGTTATTATCTTCATTTTACAGATGAGGAGACTGAGGCAGGCAGCTGTCCTGAGATCGGATTTGGACTCTGTCTTCCACGGCGCCACCTAGAGTCTAATGAGCTGGGAAGCACACGAGGCACAAAACCGAGGGGATTGGGTATATAATCACTGGCACTATAATAAACTGAGGCCTCGTGCCTCAGTGTCCCCGTCTGTAAAATGGGATGTTCGAGGACAAGAAAGCCCCTTTGAATGATTTTTTTGTTTGTTTTAAGGAATACTACAAGAGAAAAGTTATTTCTCTGTAGCAGGGCTATTAGAGGGTTCGGTGGAAGAGGAGTTTTCTTTGGCCCAAAAGGGCAGAGCCGGGGGGATGGGTGGAAGTTTGAAAGAAGAACATTTACACCCAATAAAAGGAAAAACTAATAACCGTCCAAGAATGACATGGACTGCCCCAGGGAATGATTGTTTCCTCTTCATTGAAGGTCTTCAAGTGGAGGCTGGAGGGGGGTGAGGGCAGGGACTCCGACTTCCTGGAAGAAGTTCCTGCTAAAGGTGAGGGGGGGTGGGGTTGGAATAGAGACCCTCCAAGGTCTCTTCCAAGGTCTTAGTCACATTGCTGGGCCAAGGGTTTGGCTTTGGAGAGCATCAGGTTACTGACCTTTCCTGCGTTCACTTAGACCTGCTTCCTCCTTTTCATGAGATAGGTTTGGAATTCTGGCCTTTTCTTTAAATCGAGTAAATCTCTGAGTGTAGATCTTGGGTATGTGATTTTCCTAGTGTTTGATTTCCTTTGTTCCCTGTGTTTATGTAACTTGATTTGAAGTTTTCTGTAGGTTTGAACTGTGGTGGCCTATACTCTCACCCTGGATTTCTATCTTCTTCCTTGATGAGCTTTGGGTAATTAGCCTAAAGCATTTTTCAGGCTGTTTGTTTCTTTATCAGATAACATCTGCACTTGGTTCTCTTCTACACTGAGGTAATTTTGAATATAGGAAGGAGAAATGCCCGGATTGCAGGCTGTTGTCTCCTCTGTTACAGGAACTACTGCAGGGAGTTGAGATGGGAATTTCCTGGAGTAGTCTGACCACATTTCTTAGACTCTGTAGGAGGGAGTCTCGGGAAAATTTGCATTGCGGCCCTTTGGATATTGTGTGTGCTGATAGGTAGGCCCCAAGAGGATTGAAGGTCGTACTAGGTCAGTGGATGGCACTAACACAGTGGAAATAATGTTATTACTTTGCCCTTATGTGCTGCTTTCCAGATTAAAGAGTTCATTGACTCATGTCATCTTTTAATTTTCAAAAGATGTTCATGTTATCTGTTTGATTTTCACAGTAACCCATGGAACAGGTATTATCATGTATGTTTTTTAATAATCATAGTAGTAGAAATAACTGCCATTTATATAGTGTGTTCAGGGTTGCAAATTGCTTTTTGCATATAATCTCACTTGATCCCTACAAACAGCTCAATGAGATAGGTCTTTTAGGCATTAATCATTCTGCTCATTTTATAAATGAAGAAATAGGCTCGAAGCGTCGGGAGTAGGAGTTGAACCTAAGTTTCTGCGGATTTCATGTCTATGGGTTCCACCACACCAGGTAAGGAAACTCTGTGAAGTGGGAGATGAGCCCAGGGGCACGAAGCTGGTAGACCATAGAGATGGGACTGGAGGGCTTCAGACTGCTGATCTAGTGCTGCCTGTCATGGGAAGTGAGGTTATTGGCTTGAGGTTTAGAGTTAAGAGCCTAGGGGTACGTGCTCCCTTCCCAAAGAGACCCCTTTCTCCTGTCGTGCCCCATTATTACGTCTGTAATCCCTTCTGTGATGCTGAAAAACCTCTCCTGGCCCCTGAAACTATTTGAGAGGCCATAATGAAAGACTATTTTGTTGCCTGATATTTCCTTCTTCCGAGGAAGTTGCTATTTATATACTTAACACTGACAGGGAACTAATCCCTAAATGAGTAACTTAGAATTTGCAGACCAGAACGAAGTGCTTACTTCAGCACTGTGCTGCCCGTTTTCAGCTGAAATCTACGTAACCGGAATTTAGTTACTTAACTCTGGAAGAAGGAGGGCAAATTAAATTCTTATGACTAAAAGTCTGCTGATGGTATGACGAGATTGCAGAGCAGTCTCTCCCTGAAATACGTGGGTGAAGGAAAGGGACAAGAGCTTTCAAGGGTATAGTTCATTTGAGGTGAAGTGGAAGTTATTTTAAAGCTGCCTTTTGGCACTCTCTTCTCTTCCCCCCCGCCAAGACCTTTGTGGTTTGATAAAGGCATTTGGAAAAGTGGTCAGTAGACAGGCATAGGCAGAAGCTAAGAAATAAGACCTCTCTCCCTCACAGTTTAAGTCAGACCTCAAATAAGCTTCCGTTTGTCCAACTGTAAATTGAGATATTATAATGTAAAGGTGCTACACACCTAATTAAACCTTTTAGTTTAATTAATTTGGAGTGGAAGTAGAAAATAGTAGGAACTCACATCAGAACATAGAAATGATTTCTGGCCTTTTTTTCTGGGAATGATAAAAATGTAATTATAAAACCCTTGTAACAAATATGCATAGTCAAACAAAATAAATTCTGCATTGACTGTATCCAAAAATGTAACATATACATGCTACCCAGATGTTCCTGCCGTTTGTAATTAATTTTCTTCATAAATAAATGTATATGTGTGTGTGTGTACACACATGGAAAAAAAAAAGAGGGGACATGAGAGGAGGAACGGGGAATGGAAGGGATAAAGAGGAAGTGTCTCATGCAGGATTTGAACTTTCTGATTCTGGGTCCATTATTCTATCTGCTGTCCAACTTAGCTGCCTGGGTACTGGGAGAGAAGATAATGTTATGTCTGATGAATTCTTTGTGCTGCAGAAAAGAGGCTCAGCATCTGAGGGAGGCAGAGAACCATGACTAAGAGAAGCTATCCTTGATTGAGGGACACTTTATTTTCCCCATTTATTCAAATAATAAAGAGAAAAATATGTAAGCAACATTGTCAAGGTCGGTTTTGTGCCGGGGAAGAGAACATTTTTATTTACCCTGTTTGTCTGAAAGAGAGCTAAATCTGACAGTGTTTGAACACAAAATTTGAATGGTACATTGGATAGAGTGCAAGACCTGAAGTCAGGAAGGCCTGAATTCGAATTCAGTCTCAGATACTAGCAGTGTGACCTTGAGCAAGTCACTTAACCTTTGTTCGCCTCAGTTTCTTCATCTGTAAAATGGAAATAATAATAATAGCACCTGCTTTGCAGAGCTGTTGAGTTAATGAGATATAATATTGTAAAGTGCTTAGAACAGTGCCTGGCACATGGTAAGCACTATATAAATGTTAGCTATTTTTACTTTTGTTCTTCATATTTGATTATGACACACTCATTTTTGGTGAGTCAGCTGATGATGAGAGGGTCAGCTTATTTTTGAAGCCAGGGGTCTTTTTTTGGCCTTTTTTTGTATCCTGGACTCCTTCTTTGAATGCTTCTTTAAAAATATGTGTAAAATAAGATACATAGGAATACAAAGGAGACGATTATATTAAAGTAAAGATGTAATTTTCCCTCCATCCAAGTTCATGGACCCCCTGAAATCTATCCACTGACCCCTTTTAGGTCTGTGGATTCCAGATGTTTATAACATCTGGTCTGGCACGTACTGCTAATCTAAGGAATTTCTGGTTCCCTTGATACTTGGGACGCTATTGAATCAAGCAACCCTAGGTGAAGGTCTTGAAATTTGGATTTATAGCCTTTTTGCAACAATAGTTCAGCAAACCAGGCTGTTCTAAAGGAGGAAAATGGTTCTGGTTGGATTGGAAATACAAGAGGAAATGCATGCTGTGATAGCAGGGATGAACAAAGCTCTGGGCTTTAGCCAACAAGAATGTGACTATGCACTGGAAAAGGGAGGTATCAGGAAAGTTGGGATGTGGTCGGGCGCTCGAATACCCAACAAAGAACACGTATGGAGTTTTTATCAGGTGTGAGCCTTTTAATTTGAAGAGTCTTCGGTTGGCAAGTGATCTCCACTCCCCTTCCACTGGCTTGGCCCCCGTCCCAGATACTGTTAGAATCTTTGTTATCGGCTCTCTTCTCCAGACACATTGCTGTTGGCACCCACCCCTAAGTTCACTTTTTTTATTCTTAGACTCTTCACTGGGTTAGAGTTTCCTTGTCAAGGTTCAGGAGGATAGACGTCTGGTTCAGGTGAGAAACTAGCCCAACTGTTGGAAGGAGGTTGTGTTTATCTGCCAACTCAAGTGATTAATGCAACCCCGCCGTAGAACTCCAGTTAGCAAACCTAAAGAAACTGGCTGTACTTGTATCCTAATGACCAGCTGTGGGAGAGAGTGGGCTGACCTTAGGTCCAGCTGCTGTGGGAGGCGCTGGCGTCCGTAAGGACATTGTACAATAGCTGGATTGTACCTGGTGAGCAGGGTGTGTTTGTGAGTTTGTGCATCTGGGAAGTGCTAGTATTGCCCACTAAGAAGTCCTGCTCCTGCTTTGGATTGTTTTCATCTTAAATAAGCCAGACGGGTCCCATCTACCCTTGCTCCACCAGGAAGGTGAGAGTATGGAACCGCTGATTTCATTTAGCTATTTTATGTCAAGGCTTCTTGAAGAGGAGGAAAGTACAACACTTTCAGAATTTAACAGACTTTGTAACTGGACATTTCATGTGACTTTTTAAAGCAGTTTTTGCAAGTGGTCAACTGAGCTTTGGAAAATCTTAGTCTAATTATTTCCACTGACTATTTTATAGATCTGTGACAGAATCAAAGGAAGTAATTAATTATTCCTAATAAACAAAATAGTTAAGTATTCCTATTTAACAATACAGGGCACTGGAAACCAGTAATTACCATCATTACTGAAGTATCTCTGAAGGAGTTATTGAGCCCTTAAGGTCCTAGAGTTTAGGCCAAGGGTGGGGAACCTGCCATCTCAAGGCCACATGTGGCCCTCTAGGTCCTCAAGTGAGGCTTCAAGTTTGGATTCAGTCAAAGGGACAAACTTGAGGACCTAGAGGGTCACATGTGGCCTCCAGGCCACAGGTTCTCCACCCCTGGCCTAGGAACTCAGTCCTTTATGGAAAAACCCTTCAATAGCTGCTAAAGGCTTATGAAGGATCTATTTCTTCCTCAGAGAATAATAACATTTTAAAAGAGGATTGCCGAAAACACAGTGTGTTCTTCAGGTCAGATGGATTTCTATCATGAAATCCTTTTACAGGCAGTTCCTGGAATGGATCTGTGCCTTGCTTCTTAGGGCTTTCATGGGCCCATTGGATAAGTTACACAATGGTAACAGACTTGTCAGCTAGGTGGCTCTTCCTAAAAGGCCCCCAAAGTTCCTATCCTAATAATCAGGTGACCCCCTATGTATTATCCCCAAGCTCCAAATGATCACCAAGGCTAAGGAGCCCTCCTCCTCAAGCTGCCTTGCATTTTTTTTTTTAAGGTTTCAGGAGAGATAAGTAAGAAAGGAAAGAACAAAAAAAAGATGAACAGAAAGACCAGAACCAAGTGACTTTTATTCAAATTG